TCAGATTGTTATACAGTGTACTAACACTGTAACAGAATGAACTGTTCAGATTGTTATACAGTGTACTAATGCTGTAACAGAATGAACTGTTCAGATTGTTACACAGTGTACCAACGCTGTAACAGAATGAACTGTCAGATTGTTATACAGTGTACTAGCACTGTAACAGAATGAACTGTCAGATTGTTATACAGTATACTAATGCTGTAACAGAATGAACTGTATAGATTGTTATACAGTGCACTAACGCTGTAACAGAATGAACTGTTCAGATTGATAAATAGTGTACCAATGCTGTAACAGAATGAACTGTTCAGATTGTTATACAGTGTACTAACACTGTAACAGAATGAACTGTATAGATTGTTATACAGTGTACTAATGCTGTAACAGAATGAACGGTTCAGATTGTTATACAGTGCATAACACTGTAACAGAATGAACTGTTCAGATTGTTATACAGTGTACTAACACTGTAACAGAATGAACTGTTCAGATTGTTATACAGTGTACTAACGCTGTAACAGAATGAACTGTCAGATTGTTATACAGCCTACTAATGCTGTAACAGAATGAACTGTCAGATTGTTATACAGTGTACTAACGCTGTAACAGAATGAACTGTTCAGATTGTTATACAGTGTACTAACGCTGTAACAAAATGAACTGTCAGATTGTTATACAGTGTACTAACGCTATAACAGAATGAACTGTTCAGATTATTATATAGTGTACTAATGCTGTAACAGAATGAACTGTTCAGATTGTTATACAGTGTACTAATGCTGTAACAGAATGAACTACCTGGTGAAGTGAGTGTTCTAGCCCATATCACCAGGCACTTGTATCCTAACACTAATATTTGTTTATAGCTCTTATTTTTTTGATAATTTTCATTCCCTTGAGCAAATTTCTTAGTGTTGTCATTTTAACAATCTCCAAAGCTGATTTTAAACGTTGGGAAAATATTGTGCAGAAAAGTAAATAGCATTACAATAATGTTTAAACCCCCACAAAAAAGAAAACATCCAAGTATACAAACTTTTCACATTTACACTATGTGGATTTTTTTTTTCTGTCCCTCTCCTTATTATATTTATATTGTATATTCACCAAATTCTCATCATTTATAGTTCATTGCACTGGTGTTTCCCAAATCCTCTGTCTGTAATTTGCGACAAATAAAGCTTGGTAAAATGTAATCTAATCCTAATTACCCTTACTGTCGCTATGTGTTATGAGATGAATAACTCAGCAGCACCACCCCCTGACATTTCGTGGTGGTAGTTTTACAAAAGTCAGATTCAGAACCCAGAGTATAAGCTCTATATATAGCCCATCTAATGTGTCATAAAACTGCACGAATAGAATAATGTTACCAGTACAGGACTCCACTTAACACTACCGAACACAACATAAAACTGCACCAATAGAATAATGTTACCAGCACAGGACTCCACTTAACACTACCGAACACAACATAAAACTGCACCAATAAAATAATGTTACCAGTACAGGACTCCACTTAACACTACCGAACACAACATAAAACTGCACCAATAGAATAATGTTACCAG